GCGGCGGGGACTCGCGACCCTCGTCGAGCTGCTCACGAACCACAGCGACACCGTGGGCTCCGTCATCCTCGAGTGCAAGCACAGCATCAACTCGTCGCACCCGCTCGGCGTCAACTGCGCCGAGCCCTACGACGAGCTCGACAAGACCTGCAAGTCCTGGACCGACACGTGCCTCAGGACCGCGGAGGGCCTCACGGCCGCGAACATCAACGTCGAGCTCTTGGTGGCCGGCCCCGACGGCGCGGGCAGCGGCCCCGCGACGAACTGGACGCCGGCGGCCTTCGAGCCGGCAAACGCGACGATCTTCGCCAAGACCATGATCGACGTCGCGAAGCGCTTCAACGCCACGGGCGTCAACGTCGACTCGGAGCCCGACCAGGGCGGCGGCCCGACGATCCGCCCGGAACCGTACGCGGCCTACCTGGCGACGCTCAAGCCCCTCCTCAACGCCGCGGGCCTGCGCCTGACGGCGGACGTCGCCGCGTGGTGCGCCATGACGAAGGACTACGCGCTCCTCGCGCCGCACGTCGACCGCCTGCTCAACATGGAACAGTACAACGCGAATTCCATGGACGGCTGGCTCAAGGGCGACGCCTACGGCGGCTACTACGAGCAGTTCCTCGAGGCGGCGCCCGTCGACAAGGTCGGCCCGGGCCTCGGCATCTGGGCGGCCGCCTGCGGCAAGAACGCGAGCGGCGCGGCCGTGCCGTGCTGGACCACGCTCGAGGAGAGCGGCGCGCCGCGCGTGGACCGCATGATCGCCGACAACGTCCCGGAGATGGCCATGTTCCGCCTCATGTGGATCGGCGGCGCGCACCAGCCCGCGGCCTGGTGGTGGCCGCTCCTCGACAAGTTCGCGACCAGCCCGCTCAACTAGGCGCGGGACTCTCGGTCGAGGCGCCGGCGCCCGCGATAAGTGGCCACGCTCGCGCCTGTTGGGAGGCCTGAGCGTCCGACTAGGGGTGGTGGTCGACTTTGCTTGGCCTGTGCAAGCGGCCCGGAGGGCGTCCGAGTCGGCGGCCACTGGCACTCAGGCCCGCACTGGGCAGGACGGCCTCAAGCGGCACTGCATCTTCACAAGGCATTATGAAGTTTGACTACCGCACTGTCGACGACGGCACCAAGCAGTTCAAAATTACATTTTAACGCAGTAACAGAATGGCGTTGGTACGAGAACGCAGGTGAACGGTATCGTGCCGTAGCAGGCGAGCGTGCCGTGCTCGTGGTCGACGATGACCCACTCCCCGTTTTTTACGCCAAAGTCCCCTCGACTGATCCAGGAGTGATCCGCGGACCGTTCGCAGCCAGTGGAAACGATGCAGGAAAGTAAAGGGACGACGATACAGAGACAGAAGATGCATGGCATGCAGATGCAGTTGTCGTCCATCGGAACGTTGTACGAAATGCAACAGCCAGGGGGGACGCAGTCACAGATGCCCATCGGAATGCACTTGTGCCACCCGTGGAGGGCTGGGTTCTCCGCGCTGTACTGTGCCGGCGATAGACTCCGGCTATACGCCAGTGCCTCGTCGATTCGAATCGTCCTCCATTTCCCGGAACGGGAACGGAGCCTGGAGTGGACCCGATCTCGGCCGCGCGAGCACCGGTCCACGCTCGAATGCAGGGCTGGCTGCGTCGAGATCACCGTTGCTTCGGCTACGACCATCTCCTCTGGTGACACCATGCGCGCCTCTGCGAGCCGCGGGCCCACGGTCCCCTCGTCGTCCTCGTCGTCGTCGCTGTCGTCGACGTCCCGCACGACGTTCGGGTTGCGCCGCGGCGGAGGCGCGACGGCGTCGGACGCCACCAGCTCTGTCTCANGCGCGACCCGGGCCATCGACCCGGCTTACACTGCCCGCCGCAATGCC